TTTAATCCGAACATCAACTCCAGACAATCTGAGTGCGTGTGTGTATGTGTGTTCGGATTAAATGTTCCACCCGCTTGGCAGGCAAAATGGTACGGTTTTGCGGCTGCAACGTCAGGGTGATATCAATCAACCCGCCGGAAAAGGAAAAACTTTGATTCAACCCGTTCTCTGATGCAAGGCGAACGTCAGTCTTCAGCAGAGGGGGGAGGGGGGTATCTACAGTGAGCAAGTTTGGAAGATCACGAGGCGGTTGCATGCTTGAGAGCCAGAGGTGAGAGTGTCTATTGGCCGTTTCGCCATGTTAATCCATACCCTAATCTATACAAAAGAAAACGACCCCCCTACGCGCTCCAAATTCTCCGATGGTCATCCGGAATAAACCAATCTCCCAAAAAAAAAACATCGGACAAGACCATCAGATACATGAGCCACCACTGCCATCACAAACACATCGGCATCAATAACTAGATACACCAATCAAACCATCCTACCCATACCAGCCACTAAGGCAAATCAAGCAGAGAGCATCGAAAAAACCCCCCTCATCACCACCCTTATTCAGAGTTGGTCCTTCGGTGCACGCTGCTCGACATGGTCATGTCGCTAGGGGCGAGCTAATCTCGTCCCAGGAAGGGAGGCGTCTGGTAATGGGGATTCCGGCATCCTCCTGGATCTGGCAACGGGAGCAGATGCCGGACTGGACGTACGTCCATCGCGTGTGGACGACTTGGACGCCCTCGCACAAGAGGTAGCCCCCAATTCGTTCGGCGTCGCAGTGACTTTTGAGCAATATGTCGATGTGAGCGCATTGGAAGAGGTAGGTGTCCCAGTTGCACATGTTGAAGAGTGGCAGTGCACAAAGGTATGTGTGTGTGTGTGTGTGTGTGCCAGAATGTATTTGTCTAGGAGACAAGAGTGTTTGAGGGTGTGATGCTTGTGTGTAGGTATGAGTAGCTTGAAGAAAGGGGTTTCTTGACAAAGATGATGAAGAGGATGATGAAGAAGAAGAAGAAGAAGAAGAAAAGGAGGAGGAAGAGGAAGAAGAAGAGGAAGAAGAAGAAGAAGAAGAAGAAGAGGAAGAGGAAGAGGAAGAGGAAGAGGAAGAGGAAGAGGAAGAGGAAGAGGAAGTAGTGAGAACTGATGGTGAAAGAAGACAGAACGAACAACACCATGTGGGCTCCTGGAGGACATATAAATATGCCAAAGAACATGTGAGAGAGTGAGAGAGTGAGAGAGTGAGTGAGTGAGAGAGCACCAGTACAGTCCCCGAGGTGAAATGACTAACACGTCCTCTAATCTGACCGCCGAGGCAATGAACCAAGATGCAGGTTGCCGTCAAACGTGATGAGTGCAAATGCAAGCCCTCAAATCTCTTCTCACCGCACAAAGATGCTGTCAAGTCCAGTCAAAGTGCAACGCAACCCGCCGTCTGGATGCCAAACCTCGTTGTTCTTCCTCTCACCTGTTACACCTCATCCCCCCTCCCTTTCTCAGCAGATCGCCAATCAAGGCTCGATCAGGGGAAGCAGGCGACCAATGGCCGACCAGAGATTAATTGACTGCATGAGAAATTCACCAACTCAGCTGGCGGCGATGGTGGTGGTGGTGATAGTGGTGGGGGTGTAAATCTTCTCTTTACGGAATTGCCGAAGCATGGGCCACTTAAACAAACAAGAAGAGATGATAGAGCCTCACCTCTTCCTCGTATCCTTGACGGGTATCCGTGATGATGCGCAAGACGTGGGAAATGGGCAAACATGTGGGACATGAGCGAAGATTTCTGCACCCGTCCGACTCCAGCAAATCATGGTCAGCAGCCACGTTTTTTCTTCTCGCTTAATCGCCCCAGATCCAGTACTCATGATGCATTTCAAAAGCAAGCCTTCTGGGTCGTCTCTCTCTCTATCTCTCTCCATCTCTCTACTTGCCTTCCGATTCCCCTCTCTTTCCGAAAGCGCCACCTCCGAGAGTCGACCCGCATCTCTACAGCCTAGAAACAAAGCAAACATGCTACCTAGTAGATTGCGCCAGTTATTACTACGATAATCTCGCTTTAGCTCAAACGCCACAAGAGGCAATATGCACGGGATCTGCGATGCAACCCCAAAACATCATCAATATTCCAATCGCCTGAGGGCTCTGGAATACGGCAACTGAAGCAAACAAAGACACGACTCCGACAGGGAAAGATGCGTTTTATCTTACCGCTCCGTCGCGATTAGGGGGGTCGTCTCTGAGCATCGAGGGACAACAAACCAGACGTGACGAGGAAGAGTGAGCCAATGTCAACCATGATCACGCCGCAAGTCTTGTTTTCAAGAGATGGCGAGCTACTCCCCTCCCTCGGGGGACGATAATGTCAGGTTTCTACGAACCAGGCTTGCCGGGGATTACGTCCATGCAGAGGGAATGCATTTTGGTCCCATGATTCCAGTACACCTCATCAACTTTCTCCCTCCCAAAAAAAAAAAGAATTTGAAAGAAAAAAGACATGCACTGCATACAATCCAATATACCGAGAAGCACCAGAATGCAGTTTGCAGGATTTCATCCGCACTCGGTCAGGACTCTAACGTTTTGAGACAACTAATGCAGGTGTGCGAATGGCTTGATGGCTTGACGGCTGTCATTGGGCAAAGGCCGCCGCATTTAGATGTTGGTCGTCCATCACATACTATCACAACTACACAACAGGAAAAGAGAGAAAAATAGTCGTCAACGATATGGTATCCGGCGACTCACCCCCTCCCTCCCCTCTCCTTCTCTCTGTTGGCCCCCAATCTGCGGTGAAGCATGTCATGGAACATTTGCGAAAACTCTGGGAGACATTTGCATGAAGACTGCCGCATCTCAGTAAACGCCGCACCGCACCGCACACTCCCTCACAGAAAACAATTGGGCTTGCCTGAACGTCCCCCCCCCGATCCGCGTTGTATCCCTGAACGTACATCCACCCATCCCATCCCATACATTTTGTACTACCAATACAGTCCCATTCTATCCCCCCACCCTAGCAATGCCATTGATCGAATTCGACAAGGACCTCCCCAAGTCGCTCGACACGACCAATAAGCAGGTCAAATGGGTCAAGAAGCTGGCCCTCGAGCACCTGGGCAGCGCCTGCAAGCGCCTCGACCGGGCCCCCTTCCAAGGAATGTTCAGCAGGACGTTTTTCCTGGCCCTGGTCAATGGCGACGAGGTGGCCCTCCAATTTCGCACAGAGAGACTCGACCTCGAGGCGTTCAGGGTGGCGAGGGCTGCGCTGGGCGCCGTGGTCCCCGAGAGCACGGCACTCGAGTCGGAGGAGCTTCAGGGCCAAGGTGCCTGGGCGTACGCCTTCACCCGCATGCCTGGCCAAATGTGGCTCAGGGGAATCGAAGGCAAGGGCGATAAAGGTCGTATCGCTATCTGCAAGTCTCTGGGTCGGATCTTTTCCAGAGGCTGCCTGGCCGCTTCCAGCGAGGGGGCTGTCGGCAGGCTTCGGCTTCACCTAGAGGCCATCGCGGCATCTACCGCGGAAAAAGTGCTCCCCTTTCGCGATGAGGCCCGGCGGTTCCTGGGCAGGCTGGATGACTTGGCCAACCTCCCGCTCTGGGTCACACACTACGACCTGAACGAGGTGAACGTTCTCATCGACGAACACTGCGAGGTCACCGCCCTTGTCGACTGGGAGCTGTCCACCCCGCGGCCCTCTCACCTACTCGCACACTCCGGAAGTGATCCGCCGTAATGGCAGTCCAGAACGGGTGGAGTGCAGGCCGTAATTTCAGCTAATATATCATCGAAATTTACCTTGCAGCAGTGTGGTCTCTCGTCTGAGTACTAAGTTGCAATGCGCTGGAGCCACGTTTTAGAGGGAACCTGCGGTGTCAAATGAACCACACATGGCACCCATAAAGCTCGCGAGAGAGAGAGAAAAACGTCACCATTCATCTCTATGGCTCCCCCATCCATAGATGGTTCAATCAAAACCTCAGGCCCCCATGCTTCCTGGTGTTTTTTTTTTTGGTCTTTCCTCCCTGGAACTAAAGTAAAGCTCCGTTCAAGAGTTTGATAAGTAAACAAAGTTCTTGTCGGTGGAGTTGGTTTATTGCCAACATATGCATTTGATGGCATTCTGGTTGGGAAGATCAATTTGCTGTTTTCCTTCTGGATAATGCATTCACGCCAAGCCTCCAACGGAGCTCCTCTCCCCGTAGCTTAGTTCAACTTCTTTGGTGTTCCAGCACTAGAGAGAAGATCGTCAATGGAAAAAGCCTCCATCTAGATTAGGTACGCGCGGGGTAGCTTTGGCTAACCTAGACCAATCTCTCAAGCCCCTCCCCTCAAGCCTCTCATGCAGAAAGAGAATCAAACCCTGCCTGCATTGCATGAGAAAGTATAGCTCTATAGAGTGAAATAGTTGAACGGAACAACAACGATAAAGTGGACCAATCAAGTCCAATGGTCGGAGGGCGTGTGGTGTAGTTGGTTATCATTCTCGCTTTGCATCCGTGCAGCTTGTGAGCGGTCCGGGGTTCAAATCCCTGCGCGTCCATTTTTTGCACTTCTTTTCCTTTTCTCACGATGGATGCGAAGGATGGTTGTTGTTTTCTTTTTTCCCCTACAACTGTATTGTATTCTTTAACAAACACAAAGTGATAAAGCGTGTGATGGGTAAGAATGGAGAAGATCAATAAACACCTCCGCCAGGGCCCAAGAATGAGAAGAGCCCAGAGACAAAACCAAAATAAATACATTGTTACTACATCTACTAGATACCTCAGGTACTTACCCACCTGGTAACTGGTGTATCTGGATTCCAAGTATAGAGTACTCCATGTTCTGTCCATACAGTCAAATCAGTGCTACCGAGCGAGTACACCAAAAATCCACCTGACACAGATATCTCTCAAAGAGCCACTCGCACGCAAGCCGCCTCCAATGTACGTACTCTGCATATAAAAAAATACATAAAAATAAAAAGAGAAAGAAAGAAAAAAGACAAAAATATGAGAAACTGCCCACTATCAGAATCGAACTGATGACCTTGTCATGTCAAGTATATTTACTAGTGACACGCTATACCACTTAGCCAAGCGGGCTCTCTTGGACATTGGAAGGGGGTTGTCCATGTTCCCGCACTCGATATCGCGGACCATGGATCAGCAAGAGGACAAGCCCAGCCTTGTTTCATCGAGTTGTCTGTTATAGCAAGTACCTAGCACAAACGAAGCTCTCCGAGCCTCACCTCAAGTTGTACCGAAGTAAGTACTACTAGGTAGGTATCGCCATACACTGCTCCCGCAGTACAAAACGCAGCTACCCAAAAAGAAAAAAATACAAGCCCATCATACACCTGTGAAGAATCAAGTCACAGCATACCTAGGTTACCCAGTAGGCATCTAATCTTTCACCAGCACACCATCTCTCACCAACATTACAACTTGTAATTTAGCATCAACAAAGCCTTTTCTGCCGAACCAAAAGAAAACATCATCCATAAAACCCCGCTGACAACATCAACAGATTCGTAGAAAGAAAGAACGAAAGAAAAAAAATCATCAAAAACGCCAGTCATTCATTACATGGGCGTTCTCGCATCCTACGTGATTCCCGAAAATCTTTACCGCATCCTTGCCCCCCCCTCATTTCCCTCTCATTATTCCAAGTTTTGTTATTAAGAATAGTAGCCTTTTTACGCCTCCTCCTTGATGAGCACCCCGTCCGTCCCATTTTCCTCCGTGCCAATGTCATGACTCCTGCTCGTCTCCTTGGCCCGCTTATCCTCTAGATGTTTAATCGCATCGTTTGTGAGCTCCTGCCTCTCCAGCAGGTCGACAACCTCCTTCTTTCTCGTCCTCTTGTCGCCCATTGTGATGAGCAAACCAGCCGTTAGGTTGGCCGTGATGCTGACGCAGAGGATTGTCGTAGTAATGGCGGCAGGGCGGTGGTGGTAGTCAATGCCCCATGTGGTGGCACCGAGTGAAATCTGAAGACAAGAGTGGCAATCCAAGAGGACCACGATGGCGATGAGGAAGCTAAGCGGGAAAGGGTTGTGCGTAAATGTGTGGTGTGGCTTGTAAAAACTGTGTGACCTCGACAACTTCTTCTGATGGTGCCGCAAGATCTTTAGTTGAGCGGGCGTTAGATACATCTCCTCTTCGCATTCGGCCTCCTTCTTCGCCACCTCGAGGTCGATGTTCTGCTCAACATCTCGTGGCACATTCTTGGCATTGCTAGTACTCGACATGATGCGCTCTACCGAGTCAGTCGGATTGTCGGTTCCCACCAGCCCGTTTTGGGGGTTCGTGAGGCCTGTGGTGGAGGCGGCCCCATTTTCTGTGACCTCCAGAGTCTGCGGCAGATCTGATTTCGTTGCACAGGTTGGTTCCTTGGATAAGCCTTGCTTCTGAAGCTTCTTCTTTGCCTTTTCAATCTTACGCGAATAGTGTACGATGAATGCCATGTGGTACGTGTCGACGGCTCTGAATGGAGCCAAGCCATCACCCATAATGGCAAACAGGGCGACAAGAACACTGTCGATGATGTGGATGGCGTAAACTTGGTTATCCCCCACGTAGATCCAACCAATGAGAAACAGAACCCAGGCCAGGCCAAAGAGGGTGATGAGCACGGCATAGAGCGTAACAAAGAAACCGAGGGGTCGTCGGATATACTGCCCAAAACCCTTCATCGTGCGCTTAAACCTGGAGCGGCGGGAGTGAAGCATGTGGCGAACATGATCATCCAGCTCCCACTTCTCCTCGTCCGTCCAGCCCTCGAGTCTCATGCCATGAGGGAGGGCAGCATAGTGGGACTCGCTCAGCCGGGATGTGATGGTATTCGATCTCTGCAAACTCGGCATATCCTCCCTTTCTCCCTCGGCGGCCGGTTCTCTAATGGTAGGAATCCTATCCAGCTGCGACTCCTGTCGTACTTCTTCCTCGCGTTGTCGCGACGGGGGTCGTCTTTCGGGATATTGCGTGAGGGTGTATGTTGGTCTTCGATTGATCAAGTTGCCTAGGTCGGGGATGAAGAGAGAGTTTTGTACGTTTGTGAGGGTAGAGAGGGTCTGAATTTCGGGATCTGCACACGCTGTTAGCGAGATTTGACATGGTATTACACTGGAATAGCTCACCAATAATATCGAGGAAATCGACCAAGTCGTCGTGATACTCCTCATCCTCGTCCTCCGCGGCGCCAGCAACCATGGCGCCTGGCGGGGCAGTCTGCCTAGTTGCGCCCGGCCAGAGCAACCTGCTGAGCTTCCGCCGCCGATTCAACCTCCTGGGCGGCTCACCCGAGCCCGCAGATGGAGGGCGAAGGGTTTCCAGGTTCTCGTCCGGCAGGGAAGTCGTGCGCTCAAGCTGCGGCTCAGCGATGCCCAACTCGGCCATTGTCGGTCGCGACCCTTCCTCTGTAAGGCGGGGCAATGCGACTTGAGGAACCCTCCGCGAATTCCTCGCAATGTTGGGGTTGGGAGGCGGTAGAGCCACGGGGGTGGGCTGCGAGATGCTGCGAGGACGGTTTCGCGCCGGAGCATTGTTGCTGGCGGCCGGGTCGGTCGACGGCAGTTGATTAGACGATGCTGCCAGGGCCTGACGCAGCGAGCTGTTGGAGGTTCGTCGGACGCGAATGCTCGGGCGCCGTTGCCGTGCAGAGGTCGGACGTTCGCCATCGGATCCAGCGACCGAGGCGGGTCGACTCGAGTTGAAGAAGAACGAGGATCGCGATCGCGCCGACGGGGTCACCCTCAAGGCGGGAAAGTATTCTGTCTGAGCTTCATTGGAGGCATCTGGAGTGGCGGGGGTTATGGCAGGGTTGGCGGATGTGCGCGAAGGGATTGGACTGAGGGTGTTGGAGGCATCTTGAGACGGAGGTCGCATGGTTGGGCGACTAGAAGAACCAGCTGTTGGTTGTGGTGGTGGTTGCGGTGGTTGCGGTGATGATGCACCTGATTCCTCCATGGTGGATAACAGTAGGAGGCCCAGTACTATTACCTGAAACTGCTGACATCAACAACAACGAAAAAAACACAAACAACACACATTCAATCAAACAGAGAAAGATTGTTTGCGTCCATGTGAAGAGACAAGGAATAATATGACGCCCCTGGAGGGTTTGATTCGGAATAATTGCGGGACAAAGAATGGATTGAATTATTTATTTATTGTTTATTTGTTTTTAGGATGAATTTTTTGGAGATGCCGCAGCTCCCGAAAACCATGAAACCTTGGAAACCTTGCCTCTGCATCTGCCCTCGTCTTAGCGTCACCAAGACTTGGTTTTTTTGTACTTGTAACCGTCCTGCGCTATGAGGATTCCATCCATTCATCTCCCCTCACATCTGCCCTTTTGGTTGGAACCGGAAGCATCCGTCCGTCGAACCACCAATTGACTCCCCCAAGCGTTTGCATGTGCTTAAACGACTCTAAAAAAAGGGGGGGGGCACCATTACGTCACTTGACTTGACAATTTAGGTATCGTTTACCAAGGTTACCGCTTTGTAAGATCTTAGTGAGGCGAAGAGAGCGCATTGCGTGTTCATCTTTCTGTGAAAACGCATCACCGCAAAGAACCATGGTAAATACAAGTTTAAGAAACGGGCTGGGACAAAAAGGGCATGTTGAAGTTGTTGTCGTGTACTTGTACCTCAAGGATCGAAACACTACTACTAGGTAGGTACTTGTAGAGTAGCTAATAACTAAGCCACATCTCGGTCTTGCTCATCGCAGTTAAAACCATTCGAGTCATTCATTCATTCACTTTGCCCCCTTTGTCTCCTACCACCGAAAAAAAGAACAACACAGCCCCCCCAATACGACGTTGTAGCCCCGGCTTAAACCCACTCCTGCAAATTAATACCCAAAAGAGTATTCTTCTTGCCATCATCTCTAAGCTGCTGCAGTATGATGCCACATCGACAAGAGCTTCGCATCAGGTTACCCAATATCGTTTATCCGTCAATGTCCCCTTTAACAAACCTTCACAATTCACAGTTCACAATCTACAGCTTACAGAAAAAAGTTCAAACTGTCAAAACTCTCAAGGGACACACACAATGGCTGGTTACCGGACTCTGTACTCGTTTCAATCCATCGCCAGCCATTCCGACAGCCGGTCTCGAAACCGTTGGTATTTAATCCTCAATAGCAATACTACTAATACTACCTATGAAAGCATGCAGAGTATCTCTGTAATTTGACTCGTAATGACCCTCCCAAAAACAAACCATTGCGTATCCAACACCCATTGCGCGCTCCATCCCAGATATATCCCATTCAAATGTTTGTGACCCCCCAGAAAAGAAAAAAAGAATCCCTTTACTCGTCATCGCCATCCTTCTTCGCATTCTCAATGGCCGACTCCACGGCCTCCTGCAGGTCAAAGTGGAAATATGGCCGGTTCAGCCCCTGAATGGCCACCAACCGATGACTGCTCGGGTTCTGAGGCACGTCCTTGTCCGACGCCTTTGAGGCGTTCGCCGAAGGGATTTGCTCGATATCGTATTGGATCGTCGCTGCCCGCTCCGCCTTCTCCCCAGCCGCCGCTGCGGCCGCTGCACTGTCGGCTCCTCCCAAGTCGGCGATGCTGAAAATGGTCTTCCAGTGTCCGGCGCCCTCTCCAGGCTGCTCGGGGTCCGGTTGTGGTGTCCGATAACCGAAACCCGCGGCGGCCAGTGCGCGCTTCGTCCATCGGTTCTCAATGTGGGCAAAGTGCCAGTCTACTGCTTGCGGAGCGGCATACCGGTCCAGTTGGTTTCGGACGTCGATGAGGGCCTGCGCAGCCGTAACGTCGACATTGTTTACTGTTGAAAAGTCGAGGATGATGGCCTTGAGCGTAGGTCTGTCGTCCTGGTCCTCCTTTAGGTTGCGTGGCTCGGTATCATTCCAAGGCCGGTCCTGTACACATTGTTAGACATGTTTCAAGAACCAAAAAAAAAAAAAAAAAAAAATGCTGCTCAGTTTTCCATCCACTTACTCCTATCTTGCCAATCAGACTGCGGTCAGTACGCCGGGTCTCCTTGAAAATGATCTCGGTGAGGTGATTCAGGTAGCGGGTGGCATTGGGGTAGTTGAAGCCCTCGGCGAATCGGTAAATG